ATGCCCACCTCTTGGCCTTATCCCTGTGCTTGTGCAGTACTGTGTTTGGTTATCTCCGGGAACTAAAACAAGGATGTTTGTTCTAGAAAAGTGCTGCCCTGCCTCTGCATGGCCCCCTTCTGCAGCCACATCTTTTTCTTTCTCACAGCATGTTATTATCAACAATCCTTGGTTACTACTAACAGTCCTCGTCTGTTATTACCAACAATCCCTGCTTGCCTCCACAGCCACCTGGCTATCAGTGTTTGAGACATACACATCAGCCTCATATGTTCTGGGCTTCTGCACAGCTTTCCTTGTCACCATTTCTTTAGCACTGGGAAACACAGTGTGGCACTGTGAGTATCTATTTATGGGGCAGTATGTCCAAACAGTAACTCAATGGAGTCTCACTTTGAAACTTCCAGAAAATGTAATGTAACAACCAGGACAGAGGTTCTGCCTTCATCCAAAAACTACCAGAAAGCTTCACTTACTGGAAGTCCTGTGATCAGTTCTGGCCCTGCCCCAAGAAGCATTTCAGATTTTATTAGAAATTAATATGCATGAACAGGCCAGGGAACAAGGACAAGAAAAGAGACTCTGGGATAAGACTGGTACACACTACCTGCCTGAAGTCCATTCTGAATTGAGAGTTGGTGGAGTCATCTTTCCCATGCCCTAGGTCAGATCCCCAAGCCTCAGAGTAAACCTAAAGGCACCAACCTGTGCCCAGTATATTGGGTACCCTGACTGGTTAGCTTCTGATACCAGGATAGCTCCTAGATTTCGGCAAGTTAGAAGCTACAGGAAATAACTTCCAAGGGCCCATCTCCCACACAGAAACTCAGAACTGACATACCTGTTGCAGAACACCTGTGCATGGAAAAGGAGATCACCAGGATCAAACCTGCCCTAAATGCTGAGCACAGCAGAAGACATAGAACACTGCTCAGAGCCTGGATGGCTGTTTTATGCTTACAGGTGCCAAGCCTGTCTGCTCAGGTTGGGAGAGAAGAAATACCTACAACTTTTCTTTGCAAATACTGGCAGGGAAAAAGAAGGTTGCTTCTTTCAAAGAAAGGCAAGGAGAAGGGCCTGCCTGTGACGTATTAGCTCACTGGCTGGACTCCGCTCCAGCACGGTCACATCTGACCTTAATCATCACATCTCAGCCAGAAACCACTCAAATCACTGTCACTTACCAGTGTCAAGAACATCAGGTTGCAGGGTGTTTTATGGACTTGGAAAGATCCTTTCTATCGTTGCTACTGCACAAAGCTCTGGTGTATCACACCAGTGATATTCTTGTGACTTGGCAATGGCAATTACTAACCCTTGTTTCAAAGTCTTTTAGTCCTTCAGCTCTCATTCCCCTGTTTTGTAAACCTGTTTACCGAGAGAGCAAACACGGTACATCACCACTGTCTGCGTTTTGCTGTCAGATGGAAGAACGGTCCTTAGTGGTGAAGTAACGACTGCAGCAGCCTCAGGGAAAACAGCGAAAACGCCGATGAGGTCTAGCGGATGAAATGCAGAAGCGGGGCCGTGCCGGT